AATCCTTTGCCTCGGACTCTGATTTACTTTTGGATGCTATTTGGAACCCTGACACTGGGAGTTGAAGTCCACTCATCTTCACATTGCCAAGGTTGAGAAATACTGGAATAGGATGAAACCTAGAAAAGGTAACCAGGGGTCCAGCTATACTGACTATGACGGAAATACACCAAGTGGTAGGATTCCCCCCCACCCCTGGCAGATTTTGCTTTACAGTAATTTACATTTTGAGACAGGGAAGTAGGAAACTTCTCAGCAGAGTGGTGGGGTGGCCTAGGGGTGGCGCTCTCGCCTCACAATCAGGAGACTGTGAGTTTGATCCTGGGTAGAGGCAGATATTTCTCTCTCTCTCTCTCTCTGGGCATAATGAGAATATATCTGCTGGATATAACTCCGCATTGGCAACAGGATGGGCATCTGGCCAGTAAACGCTCTGCTGGCTCCATTTGGATGCCCAGACTCCACCCCCGCAAGGGATTATGGGGACTTTAAATGATAATGATGATGATGATGATGATGATGATGATGATGATGATGATGATGATGATGATGATGATGATGATGTAGGGAACTGCTCCAATTCCTCTCCTGCCCCACCACCCACACTATTTTCCAAAGGAGCCTGTGACCCAAAACATTTGGAAAGGAGAACATCTGAACACCTATAAGTTGGATTGCTTCTCCACAAGCTGCTGCAAGTTGAAAAAATAGATCAGTCAAGCCAATAAACAGAACAACGGATGCATATCTCTACTAGATTAAGTAGGGGGGCAATCTTTTTCACTAAAGTGTAACCAGTGGTAGGATTCAGCCAGTTCGGACCAGTTCAAGTGAACCGGATGCTAATTTTGAGGCTCTAGGCGGGTGAAAAATGGGCCTACTGAAAGTCCAGAAATAGGCTTGTTTCTGGCTTCTGGAGGGCCTTGGGAGCCCGGGGAGGCTGTTTTCGCCCTCCCGGAGGCTTAAGGAAATGCCACATCCCTGCTGTGAGAAGTCAGAGTAGGTCACACCCCCAGGCAGAGAACTGGTTGCTACAATTTTTCAATCCCACCCCTGTGTAAACCCCCTCCCCAACTGAGCTCAATGGGGACTGAAGTTTGAGCAGTCGTGGGTAAGGTTCAATACGCTAGTAAGGAAAAGGAGGGAGCCAGCATGGACAAAAATGGAGAGATCCCTAGCCGGCTTAGTTATGCACATTCATCCATTCTATGGTTCCATTGCACCAAGGTGGTGTGCTAATTATCTGATCATTTTCACTTTGGTCCTGCTTTTTTTTGGAAAAAGCCTACTTTTTAGTCCTTGCCTCTCTGTTCCACCTAATAGTTTGAGAATGCCCTCTTGTGCCAGGGAAACCCTGAGAGCTTTCCTGGTGACCTCTCTCAGAGGTTGGCGCCCAGAGGGGCTTCCTCGAAAGCGGTCTTGAAGACCTGCAGCAAGGACCTCCTGACGGCATCCTGGAATTCCTGCCCTACAAAGACATAAAGCAAGGGGTTAATGCAACTGTTGAACATGGCCAGGCATTTGGAGAGGGGAATGGCCACCAGCCGCATGCTCTCCGGCACGTGATCCATCGAGATCCTGGCCAGAGCCAACCCATGATAAGGGAGCCAACAGAGGAAAAAGCAGAAGACCACTCTGGTGACCACCAGGAAGGGCTTGCTGGATTTGTTCAGCTTCTTCTTTTTCATGGTCACCACCAGGATTGTGTAGGAAATGGAGATGACCAGTAAGGGAAGGAGGAATTGATAGAGGAAAATGCAAATAGTAAGGACTTCGGCTTGTTGCCAGTCCTGAAAAATGTCCAGGTTGTTGCAAGAGCTCCGGTTGTTGTTATCCACCGAGACCTGGGTGAAGAAGTAGGAGCTGGGGACGAAAAACGCCAACGACAGCAGCCAAAGGAATCCGCAAGCTGCCCAGGTGAGTCGGGGCGTGCGGTAGTTCTGGCACCAGACGGGAGCCACCACCAACACGCAGCGATCCACGCTGATGGAGCTCAGTAGCAACACGCCGCTACAGACGCTCAGCCCGAAGAGGCAATTGGCCACTTTGCAAGCCACGGATCCGAAAGGCCAATGCAGATCAAGCGCCAAGTTGAGTACTGTGACAAGGATGAGGGAGGTGGATGCTAAGTCGGCTAAGGCCAGGTTGAAGAACCAGACGGTGTTGGAGGTCCATCGCAGCTTCCACCCAGTGACGAACAGGACTATCCCGTTCCCAGTCACACCAGCCAGGAAGATGAAGCTGAATATCACCCCTGTGATAACCTTTATGCTGTCCTTCACGGAGTTGTCCTCCACGGGCACTTGGGAGGAGGAGCCATTGGCACTCGGGTTTGTTGACATCTCCCTGTCAAAGAGAGAAGAACAAGGATGAAAATTCGTGATTATTCCTTATTCAGATCGGGCAATGTGATTTGTCTGCCAGGAATTACCATATTTTTCGGAGTATAAGACTCACCTTTTCCCCTCAAAAGAGAGGCTGAAAATCTGGTGCATCTTATACACTGAATATAGCATTTTTTGCCTCCTGAAACCCCGCCCCCTTCACCAAAATGGCCGTGCATAGGTTTTCAGAGTGCTCCGGGTGCTGGGGAGGGCAGAAGCGAGTGAAAAATGAACCATTTTTTGCTCAATTTTGCCCCCCCCCAGGAGCACTCTATAAGCCTCCTAAAGGCTATGCCTGCCCTCTTTTTGTGACAAAAAATGAGCCAGTTTTCAGAAAAAAATGGTCCGTTTTTGCTCATTTTTGGTCCCCCTGCCCCCCAGGAGCACTCCACAGGCTTCTCCTAAAGGCTATTCATGCCCTTTTTAAAAAAAAAACGGGCCTATTTTCGCAAAAAAACAGGCCGTTTTTGGGAGGTCTGCAGAGTACAAAAACTTTTTTTAAAACATTTGCCTCTTCAAAATCTTGGTGCGTCTTATACTCCGGTGCATGTTATACTCCAAAAAATATGGTACATTTTTACCGAATAGCAAAT